TGCCAAAGCTCCAGTATTTTAAATATTTCATTAAGTTTTGCCAGGCAATTGTGAGGAATATAGGTGATCATTATTATTATTTGTTGATTATTTTCAAATATCGGTTTATTCATTGACAGTAAAAGTAGTATATAGTTATCAGATTTTTTGATTTGTTGTATTTTGCAAATTTGTTTTTTTATCAGGATACACAGCCCACCACTTGGACGACCTGGTCCAGAAGGTTTAATTGCTGAAACTGTTATTGTTATATATTTATTGAAGAATGTTGAATTATAAAATAGATCAGATGTAATCCAAGTTTTGGTTATGCCTATTATTTCTGGATCATAATTTAATTGAAAATAATTTATTGATAGAAGTTTATTCTTTAAGCCTTGACTATTCCAATTTAAAACTGTAGTTGGATGTATATTTTTAATAGTTTTTTCTTGGTGAGGTTTATTTTGTTGTAAATATCAACTTGATGATTCTGGTGGAGCAAAAAAAGGCTGAAAGGTATCCACGTAAACTAATTTTCCTGTATTAATACTGAAAGTTAATTTATTGCGGTCTATTAGCAGTGTCGTTGTGTAGTTTAACTGATTGGTTTTGTTTTCTTAATTCATAATATATTGGCAATAAATGTTTTCTTCTTTTACGTGTTTCTTTGGTAGGATCAGGTGCTATCTGTATATTACCCCGGTCCTCCATTAATTTATGTTGTTTCTTTGATATGAAAGCATTATACATTTGATCACGAGTCTGTTTCGTACTAAATGATAGTTTTATAATCTGGTTGGTTGATTTGGTTATTTGAATTATATCTAGGATATCATCCTGAGTTACATTATTTAGGTTTAATGTTAAGTTGATGAATTTAAGAATTTCTGGTTTGGAAATGCTTTTTGACGAAGGATAGTTGTATAATACTATATTATTATAATGACAGTCATTAATTAAAGTATCCATTTTATACTGTATCAGTTCCTTTTCAGATTTTAAATTGTCAATTTGAATTTTTAGATTATCTATTGAACTTCCCATTTTTTCAAATTAAATTTTATTTTCTCATATAGTACCGTGAATTAAATTCAGTTCTTCTTTTATATATTCCATTTGTGTAGATAGTTTATCATTAGAAGTATTAATCAGTTCAGATATCCTATTCCATAAATCTGCTATTAAAGTGCCATTCGAACTTATTGGAGTAGATGAATTAATTATATTGGACTCACCTGAAGAGCTTTGTAGATTTTGTTTAGATATATCCGTATGTGAACTATTGTTTGCCATAAACAATTCCTGTAATTCTTTATTCATTGATAAGTTGTAGTCCGTAATAAGCTTGAAATTAGATGTACCTGGTTGCGTCTTTTTGCTTTCCGGTTTGCTTCTATTAGTTGGCGGTCTACCATGTTTTACTGGTGATCATTGCATACTTATTAATTATTAATTTTCTTTGAACTTGGTTATTTCTTATTAGTATTAAACACTTTTGGTTAGTTCAGATAATAAAATTGAAAAAATACACTAAATTCTAGATTCACGTTGAGGTATAGAAACAAAGTCACGCCCCCTCTACATGAAATAATTTAAATCTGTTTATAAAAGAAGGTTAATAATATGAATTGAATTCAAATATTTTGATATTTTTTATGAGAAACAGAAGTGGTTCAAGTTTTGCCTGCACTTTTTATTTTACACAAAAAAGTTCAAGAAATACAACATTCAAAGTATGTGGCCTTATATACTTCTCTGAAAGGACTTAAGTTCCAGCACTACAGAATGTTCTTTGTTATCATAGCAAACTCAGAATAAAATACTGCAGGGCTTCACTTGTCATAAATTTTTTTCATCCTAAATGATCCTTTAACACCTTCAGTAACATGTCAAGTCCAGATTTTTAATTTGACTTTTTGCTTTCTCTGTCTGATTATTTTTTGTTCTCGCCTGAATTTGGGAGAACAGTTGCCCCCTGCTTGTGTGCCCATGTTTAGTGTCCCAAAAGATATTCACCATCATTATCATTGCAGATGGCAATGTCTTGAATTTCTTGAGTGATAGGGAAACTTTGTAGCACCACTCTTCTGCTTTCAGAAAAGACATGTTTCATCAAACATCACTATCTGTTGCAAAAGTGAGTCTTCTGCTTCAAAAAGCTGCAAGATTTCCCTGAAGACGTTCAACATGCACTGCCTACTGATCAAGTCAATACTACTCATCATAAAAATAATTTTCTGAATAGCAAACATTCCTGAATGATTGTTTCAATACTTACTAACACTGATGTTGATAATGACAGTAATTTCATATACCTTCACTTGCCTACTCTCCAGAATAATTTACTCAATGAAGCTGATGTTAATTTCCAGTACAGTGGTCAGCTGAATGTGTCCATGGAGTTCATTTGACTCAATCTCAAGTTTGCTAAATGTGTTACACCAATATACACACTTCTTGATAATGTTTGTTCCTTATACTATGCTTGCGATCTGCACCAAATTTCAGCCAGTTTCACATTCTCCTTTATGAGAAATTTTATGATACTATTGTTCCATGCTTGCAGAAACATTTTCCAACTTCTTGTTGTCTGACAAGCTATATACATGCCAAAAGTGGTTCAACATGGTATTAATCTCTTGTTTTTTCCATGCAGATTTATTTCATCTGCATGGAAAAATCTGCATATTATTCAGACTGACTATTCACTTTTGACATTGGGATATTTCAAAAAAAAAAAAAAAAAAAACATTTATTTAAATAAAACAATAAGTTAAGTGTAAACTTAACAAAGACCACACAAAACATGTCAGACTTGCATAGTTTTCATAATTTAATCCAATTTTTAGCTTTGGGGATGGCATGACAATTTTTAACAATGGGATGGCATGATGTTCAGGTCACCAATTTTGATCAAACTCAGTGAGGTTATAGTGCATCCCCAAAGATTGGTACATGCCAAGCAGTAAGGTGCAATACTCAAAATTAAAACCTTTAGAATTCCCATCATTTGCAAAGTGGTGAGTGGAGGCATGCCAATTTCATAATCATGAGGTTGGTGTATCAAATCTTGATGGTATCAATGTTATTTCTCCCCTTAAAATTATAATTTTCACTTTATTCTGGTATTTTTAAATTTATTATATTTATTTAAAAATTCTTTTTGAATATTCATGTACTGTACATATGGGATTTGTACTAACATTTATTTATAATTTATTTGGGAAGAGAATTAGATATAAACAAAATTACCATTATTATAGCCAATTTTGTTAATAAAGATATTTTTATTAACCTTATTCAATCTGCTTTCCGGAAGCACAATTTTGTGGATGATAATTGTCATATAATAGTGTATTCAAACAATAAACATAATAGCGTCAGATAATAGCGTTTCAAACAATAAACATTTCTGCAGTGTGTACATTGAATAAATGTAGATTTTTACAATAAAAAGAAGATTTGTGTATGTCACTGGAAAAACAAACTTGATTAATGTTTAAAAACACTTCTCCATCATCAACTAATTTGGAGGAGAATCACTTGTACTGTATCACATTGGAAAATATCAAAGCACTTGATGTTTTTTCTACTGCCTTCGCAACTTCTGAAATTGATGAAAAACCTACAGCTGCAATTAGGTCTTGATTTGGAAGGATGCTTTCACAATATGTCAATTTTGTAATATTGTCATGCAATGATTCTACTGCATAACACATTTCTATGCTATTGATGTTAGCATGAGATATCAAAGTCATTTTTTCCTTCTTTAGCAAACAAAGATGCAATTATACATACATTTAGGTCAAACAATGACTTTGTTGCCGGAGTAAGTATAAACTGTACATGAATGTGTAGAAAATGTTTTGTTTTTAAAATAAATATTGTTAGGTAGCAATTGTTAATTGCTTTTGACAGCAACTTGTTTCTTGAAACAGATGGAATTTTATTGTTTTATTACTCTGTTTATTGTGCATTTGTAGTTTTCTAAAAATAAATCAGTTTTTCTCTTTGACAGTATAATAAATTTACAAATACCAAAAATAAGGTGAAAATTATAGTTTTAAGGAAGAAAACATCAATACCACTAGGATTTTAAACACCAACCTCATGATTACAAAACCAGTATACCTCCACCAAGCCACCAGCCACTCAGCAAATGATGGGAATTCTAAAGTATTGCTCTTTACTGCTTAGCACATGTCAGTTGTTGGGGATGCACTATAACCTCACCAAGTTTGATCAAAATTGGTAACCCAAATGTCATGCCATCCCCACATAAGTTTAGTTTTCTCATGCAAACATGGCATTTTTCTCCATTTTGCATTTCGACCACTTGCTTCTGACTGCCACTGTACACTATATATTTGTTTTCTCATATTTTACTGGGTATAGCAAACAGCAAAATATATAGGCAATGATTTAGCTATCTTAATTATGAAATATTATTAAGAATTACGTTATATTTACTTACCACAGATTTTCTTGCATTTTTGTAAGTACGTGTAATTTCACTTAAACATCTAGTAAGAACTTCTACTAAAGCATCTTCAATAAGATTTGGAGCAGTTTCACTATCGGTATCAATATTTTGTCGTTCAATACTATCAGAAGAATCTACTGTCTTATTTTCTATTCCAGTTGTTTGTACTAATCTATAAAAAAGTTTTCACAATAATTTACTGTAAAATATTAACTATAAAATGTAAAATACTTTACTGTTGTATTTAAAATGATAATATATATATACATACTTTCAGATTTGCCTATATTGAGTAATTAAATTAAACTGCAAACAATAAAACTCTAGTTTCACTGGCTCCAATAATAAAAAGAATATGCTAAAACAACTAAAAAATGTATAACTTAAAAGTTTATAAATAATTATAATTATAAGGTGCAAAATCTGATCAAAAAACAGATTCTGAAAAAGTAAATGAAAGGTGCCAAAAAAAAAGTATTGCTGAAATGCATTTATTCAGATCTAAACCAGTTACATGAACATTATCTAACACAATTAGCAAATATAATAAAGTAAATATATTTAGGAGGTAAACATGGCATTTACTGGCTTAAACTTGTTATACTGGATTATGCACAATGCACAACATTTCTGTTTCAAAATCAAGTCACTGGTGCTTTGAGCTCAGGAGATCCTTGTATTCCACATACAAGGATCTCCATGAAACTCCACTCAACATCAACTGAAACCAATGGCACTTATCTCATAAGCACGCAGGAAGAAGTTCAGTTGAAGTTGCAAAGGTTTCTACACCTGGATTGTTACTTAAAGTTATTTTGAATTTGGCTTTGGCAAATCTGTCAAGGTTGTCCCTCACAATCATCAATTTCTTCCCATTTCTCCTCCGTACCTTCTTCTTCGTCTTCCAAACTCTGAATCACATCAGGCAATTTCTTGTAACCATATTGCAAAAAAGTTCCAACTCTAGGTCTTTGTAATTAAGCAATTGTTGAGCTTGATTAATGGCTGCTGAATCCATTGAATCTAGGGCACATATGAAGTGTTTAATTTTGTTGAAGTTGGATATATAAGTTTTCCTATGCATCTTATTGGATAAGATGCATAGGAAAACTGTGCATCTTATCCAAGTACCCCCCTACCTGGTTATGTCAAGGAATTGTGGTAGGTGGACCCCAGTGACTTTGCAGTACAAAACTTGACAACTGGAGCTTTTAGAAGAATCTTCTTCAGAGCAGCAATGAAGTAATTTACCATATTATATTCCTCCCCGATATCTTCCAAACACAGTGTGGTCCATGCGCAATACATGTCACAGTTAAGGTTAAGGTACATGGCCTTCAGCTGTTGGAAAGCCGAAAGCATGTAGCATTCTTAATCACTCGCCACAAGTCCAATTTTTTGTATTGTATGTTCCTTGGCCACAGCTTCATGCATGAATTGTTGAATGTCTGCATTACTGTGCAGGCATCTATCTTCTTGAGTTGGTACATCTTAAAAAGCATGATCCCCATTCATCAGATAATGAAAATATCAGCACATTCAATATATATCTTTTTAGCTCATCAGTAGTTTCATCTAACATGAATCCCACTTTATGCTTGCCGACAACTACTTTTATTTTCTCAAAGAAATTCTCATAAATTGGCTTTATGTAATTTTTTCTAATTTATGTGCTCTCAATCTGTGGTATTGCCATTTGCACGAATTTCTCAAGAAATAATTTGAATGCAGGATTGTTTACCTTGTGGACTGGCATTTCTGATTGGATTAATGCCATGGTAAGATCTCCACTGAACTCACTTGATGACTTCTGCTTTTCAGATCCTGAAGTGAAGGCACATATCAAGGTTGTTTGCTTAAGTTTTAACTTGAAAAGTTCAATGTTCTTTGCATGTTTGCTATACCAGATACGCTGGTTTATTGTCTCTCTTTGATGCTTCTCATTGATCACAATACATACATTGCAGATGGCACAGTGAAGAATGAGACCACCAGTTTCAATGAATTTCATCTTGAATTCTTCTGAAAATGAATAAAATTTTCTCTTCTTAAACCTTTGGCATGTTTTTATTGTAAAAAATGGGTTCTTGTTTAGACTGTACAACACTAACACAGCCAACCAACTATACAGAGAAACTATCTATCACAGAGTCCACGGCCAGAATGAAATGTGTAGATATAAAATATGAATTTGTGAAGAGGATCCAGAAATCTTTAGCAGAAGTGAAGAAAGGAAACAATATGTCTTACAAAAGTTTTTACTACCTGAGATACCTGGCTTCGCTTGGAATAACAAACCCTCAGAAGGAGCAAATAAACATATAATCTATAACAATATGTTTACTACATTAAGAAAAAAAAAAACATATAATTATCCAAACTTTGCTTAAAAATGTTTACATGTTAAACATCTAAAAACATTACAAATTATGCTCAAGATCATAATAAAAATCAAAATCTAGATAACAGATAGTAAACAATAGAACAAGGGTTGTAAATTATTATAATTCATGTATACCGTATTTTCTCTAATAAGCACCTCATCTTTAATAGCTGCTGTATCTCCAATAAGCACATCCTGATTTCTCATTTGGACAAATAAACATCCTAGCACTTATTAGAGAAAATGCAGAAATTATAATTATACATTATATTTATTAATTATAAAATACTATCATGAATATTACTTTATTCAAATATAAACTCCTGTTTATATTTTAAACATTGTATTTTGGTTGATCGTTTCTGTTACTAGTTTCTTTTAATTTACTAAGCATAAATTTTGTCTTTTTTTTAGTAACTTCAATTGCACAAAGATACATTAATTAATTATGTAGATTCATTATATTTGGAAATGCATTTTGGGTTCTATTAATCCTTCTTCAGTTCCTTTTACACACTTATTATAACAAAGATCAGTATTAAAATACTTTATATACACAGTTTACCTAAATTATTTACAAAAATTTTTACTTACAGTATTCAATTATTTAACACAGACTGGTATTAAAGCTGGGCAATTAAACTGGATATATTAAAAAACTTTTATAAAATATTTAATAAATAAATTAGATAAATAAAATATTAAAAAAAACATATAAATTACCTATACCTGTATATGGATAAAGTACAATTGATTAGTTTTAAAAAATTAAATAAATAAAATAAACAAATTGATAAAAAATTTGGTTTAAAAACCTTTCTTCAAAAAAAGGATTGAAATTAATGTATCCCTGTAATTGAAGTTACTAAAAAAAGCCGAAATTTAAGCTTAGTAAATTAAACAATTTATGTACAGCACTACTAATAAAAACATAAAAATTAGATAATAATTTAAGTATTTTTTTAGAAGTTTAAGCAATTATATCTTTAAGTGATATTATAAATTAATTATTTTATGCAGCTGTTATAATTTAAACACATTAAATTAAACAAAAATTTACTACATCTTATAATCCAAAGACAATTATTTAATTAATAAATAACTTATATTTACAATTCTATTGTAGATTGATTAAAGAAATGATTAGTTTGATTAAATAAATTGCTAGAAAAAGTGTTGAAGGTTTTATATTACTTATTAACTGTTTTAGCNTTATTGTGTACTATATATTATTATACTTTCTATTACTATTCCTATAAGTATACATTAAATTTGTTTGTTTTCCCCGACAATTTGAATATATACTTTCTATTATACTATTACTGTCTATTATACTTTTAAATTTTTGATTATAAACTGTAGGAGAAACTGTAAATAAGCAATATAAAAACCTTCGACAGTTTTTCTAGCAATTTCTTTAATCAAACTAACGTTTTCAACTACACTGCTGGCCATTAAAATTGCAACACCAGGAAGGAATGATCGTACGAATGTCAAAATCATATGAAAAGAAGAAGAGGTTGGAATATGCAAATGATTAGTATTTCAGCGTATTTAGACAACGCAGAAGGAACAAATGACATCTGAAGCACTGCATAAAAGAAAAGTTGTGCAGTGGATTTCTCATTCGAAAATCGCTTTGTAAGGTTGGGGTTTCATCAGAATATCGTGTTATGCCTCGAATAAGAAGAAGAAATGTTTACCAGCAAGTGTCAGAATTTGATAGAGGCAGGATTGTTGCCTATCAAGAGTGTGGATTATCATTCCGTAATATTGCCACTTGCACTGGTCGAAATCCAACCGTCATGCAAATATGGAATCGATGGGTTGCTGAGGGTCTTACTGAACGGAATGCAGGATCTCAACGCCCTCCATGACTAACGCTCGAAAGGATAGACATATTGTGAGGTCGGCCGTGCAAAACCGTACAACCACATCATGGACCATTAGTCAGGAAATGTGCTTGTTTGCAGCATGTCCAGTATCTGCTCGTACAGTGCGATGACGTTTGCAGCAGCGTAAACTTTCAGCACGGCGACCATTACTTCGGCTTCCCTTGACAATGCAGCATAGAGAGAGACAGCGACTCTGGTGCACCCAACGACAAAGATGGATACAGGAGTGGCACAATGTCGTCTTTTCAGACGAGTCCCGGTTCTGCTTGCAGCATTCTGATGGCTGTATACGTGTCTGGAGGCTCCTAGGAAACCGCTCGTCACCTGCTTGCATTTGATATCGGCATAGGTGCCCTGCACCTAATGTGATGATATGGGCACCCATGACATGCACATCTCTAGTTTGGATCGACGGTAATTTGAATGCAGATCGGTACATTTCTGACATCTTACGTCCAGTGGTTGTGCCCTATCTTTGAGGCCTGCGAAACGCCATCTTTCAACAAGATAATGCAAGACCTCATGTTGCACGTCGTGTTCTGACCTTCCTCAATACAGAGGGTATTCAATTGTTGCCCTGGCCTGCATGGTCTCCAGATCTCTCACCAACTGAAAACATCTGGTCATGGGTTGCTGAGAGAATGACCCGCCACCCCTCTCCTGCTAATACAGTCGATGAAGCTTAGCATAGACTTGAAGCAGCATGGAACAAGTTGCCCATTTCTGTCATCCAAGCCCAGTTTGACTCCATACCTAACCGGATAAGGGCCGTTTTAGCTGCCAGAGATGGCAACTGTGTCTACTAATTTCGCACCCCTGTAAACCCCCAAACTGCTTGCAAATTTAATCATTTTGTCTTCATGCCATACTGTTTATGTACAATAAATATCTTTTTTTTTTATTTGCTTTCCTTCTTGGTGGTGCAATTTTAACGGCCAGCAGTGTATATTTAATTCAACTGTAACATCATACATAAATGTTCACTTTAACTTCTCACTCTTTTCCACTGTACAGTAACTTTTCTGACATCCTGTATTGTCTTCACAAGTGCTAATAACACAAGCTATTCAAAAGTAATTTAAAATATATTTAACCTAAATCTCTAAATTTAGGTCTTTCTTTTAGCCATGAAAAACTTATTCATTTTTTGAAACTGATTTAACTATTGCAGAATAGAAAATTTTTTTGTCTTTTTATTAAAAACACTATGTTGGCTAATAACATGGTAATTTTATGTTATGCCTCTTATAAACATTTTTTACTAAAGACTAAGATCATAAAATCAACTTTTTATAAACTGTTAATGCTACGCATTTTAAATGCTACACATCCTTCAGGCTAAAAAATGTTTTAAAAAAATACACAATTAAATGAATAAGGTAAATTATACAATTAAAACCATCACTAACCTTTCTACAATGAAGTAAATTTACAATTATTAAAACAATATGCATGGATACATAAGACTTTCTCATTAGTCTAAAATGTTTATAAAAGGCGTAACATAAAATTGTTATTGGCCAGCGTAGTGTTTTTAATAAAAAGACAATGTTTTTTAAGAAAAAAATTGTTCCATAAATCAAATATTTTTAGAAATTATTGCAGAACAACAAAAAACAGTGAAGCAATAAGTTAAACAATATTTAAACATTAAAAAAGTAATATATGAGTGAAAGTTTGTGATGTCAGATAACATAAAAAAGTTATTAAAAATAAAAATTTTTCTGGTATTCAATTTGCATCATATTTTAATAAAAAAATTTTCCTAAATACTAATTTAATTAAATTTTCATCTTCCTTTAAACATGAGAAACTTAAACTGAATAAAGATTAGTCTTTCAATTTATAACTACTATAATCATCATCATAAAATTTTCAATACATATGTCAAGAATGAAATAAGAAAATATTCTATATTATACACATTGCACCAAATAAGTAATGAGACTGATTTTTTTTTTCATGAATACTTTCAAGAAATGTGTCAAATGTGGTTACCATTTCACCGGCTAGATTGTGCTGAACACACAGACGCTTCGATCATGTCAATTACTCAGCCAGTGCATGCACAGCACCCATGAAAGTAATGCTGTGCAAGTAGCGGCAGTCGAACGTAGCATTATGGATCAAAGATCTGTGATAAAATTTTATTGTAAATTAGGAAAAACAGCATCAGAAGTTTACAAAGACATGCTACTTATTTATGGGGATGATTGTCTTAGTTGTGCACAAGTGTTCCACTGGTTTTCAGCATTTAAGAATGGAAGAGAATCCTTAGAAGATGAACAATGGACTTCATCAGTACTATTTAGTACTGATGAAGTCGTGTTATCGTGTGTACATCAGCATTGACAGTGATTGGACAGTACTACTTAGGAGTCATACAATGTCTCTTTGCTCACATGTGTCGTGTCATGATGCATCTGTTCCAAAGTAACAGTTGTGTTTTTCTGCATAACAATGCACCTGCTCTCTGCGCACTACCCATAAAACAGTTTTTAGCATCAAAACAGATCTGTCTGCTCAAACACCCACCCTATTCGCCTGATTTGGCACTTGCAGACTTTTTTCTATTTCTGAAAATTAAATGTGCTTTAAAAGGGGAACATTTCAGTGACATCGAGGACATCAAACATACTGTGACCAACAGACTGAAGGAGGTACACAATCAGGACTTCCAGTGTTCTTTCAACAACTTGTATGATCAATGTAAATGTTGTGTGGAGGTGCAAGGGGATTATTTTGAATCCATGTAACTGCAAAATTGAAATAAAGTTCTTAGTTTGGATGTAATGCTAGTTGTCTCATTACTTATTTGACACACTGTGTATACATATTTTTTTTTTGTTACAGAATTATTTTATTTGGCTTATATCTGCTTTTGAATGATTTGTATATTATAATTATTATTTAATATATTATCTTTTTTTTCCCTCTCTTTTTTTTTCTCTTCCTGTCCCGTAGGCATTAAGATGACTTTCTTCTGTGCTCATCATGAATTCAGCCAGGCCCACAATGGGGCATCTGGATGTGAGGGACAGGACCCAACATATCTAAGACAGACCACCTCCAAAAAATTTCTGGGGTTTTTTGAGCCATCTGGATTTATTCCTATGTAATGTATTATTATTATAATTTCATACTTTTCAACAGTATCCCTTAGTTCCTGTAAAACTTCATTAAGATGAACTTTTTGCATTAAAGCCGCAACACCTACCACAGCTCTAGTAGACTGTAAAAAAAAAAAAAAATAATAATAATAATAATGCAGTATATTCTATTACAATTATTAATATTTGTACATAACTAGTAATATAGCATTTACCTGTTTCTCCATTAACATATCTAACAACTTTTGATATCCAGTGAGAGTTTTTGATTCTAACTTATTTTTACATTGTTTATCTGTATCAACCATTTCATAAGAAAAAAATAATGCAGATTAAAATTGAGTTTTTGCTTATAAACAATAAGAATTAAAATTTACCTTCATTACAATTCATTTCATTAGAATTAGCAACCTCTCTTTTTAGATCAATTGCATAACTTGGTTTATATAAATAGTTTTTCTGAATAAAATATGTCATTCCTTGTTTAGTAAAGGTTGAAGCATCTATAGCTCTTAGAATAAGAAGTTTAATTGGCAATGCCATAAACTGTTGATCATATAATTCAAGTAATTTATGAGGAATGTCTTTCTCCTAAAAATAATTTCAAAATAAAATTAATTAAATGTATTTATCTTAAACTATAAAATCATTAATATGAAATCAGAAACAAAAATTTATTAGATTATTGAATAATCTTGTTATAACTAAAATTTGATTTTAGTCTAAGAAAAAAAATACTATAAATCATCAATTGCAGGAAATGACAAAGAGTTTGGCAATATTATGAGTCAATGTCATCTAACTAATTCATCCTATGTTACTGACTCCCAAGTGTAATGCTGTTATTTAAATAATGTTAACTTGTTATTATTTAAATAAAGTACTGCAATAATTAAAAATGTCTTAAAGTAAACAAAAAAGAAAAATATTTATATTGAAAAGTTACATACAGAAGAAAATTTACCAAAAATTGAGATGATGGTTTATTTAAAAATATTCTGAATCATCAGTGCCTGTAAACATTTATATTTACACACACACACACACACGTGTGTGTGTATAACTTTTCATTTTTGACAACTATTTTCTTATACACACACTTTTTTTAATAAGTGGCAGTCCTTAGGATGTGTGTGTAAGAAAATAGTTGTCAAAAATGAAAAGTTATCAGAAGAAAACTTTGAAAAATTCAAGTACAATTAAAAACAAGTCTCAAAAAAACTTTTAAGGGGTTTATCTAGAGACTGAATTATCTTATGATTCTGTTCTTCCAACTACAAAAATAATCAAATTTAAACCTTTAATGGCAACTATTTTTATTTATTTATTTATTTAAATTACATATACAATCAACCTGATAAACATTATTAATCAAACAATACAATCTTAACTACCTACCTCTAACCAAATTGCTTAATATCTGATTAATTAGTCTTATTGTAGCTCGATAAGAATCCAACTGTGTCTTTTGATTATCATAATCCTCACATTAAGTTAGGTGTGGTATTGCTGTTTTAAATAATTTTTATTGGAAAATGTTTTATTTAATCAACCATAGGCAATTAAGTATGCAACTGAGGATTACATGGAAGATTTATCCATTTCAATCATATCTGTTACAAAACTGAAATGAATACTTGATCACACTAGATGTTTTTCCCTTAAGCATATGAGATTAGAATTACTAACAATTTCGAATTTAGAGCTAAACTGAAATATTACATAATTTATACCTTTATAACATAAATTCAGCATATAAAAATTTAGCATAATTAAAAATCTTTTATAAATTGCATAAATATTTTTCTTTTAAAAATGTAGTTACAGGACATCCTTGTTAATTTGAACTCAGATAGTTCAAAATTATATTAGTGTGAAACTGTACTTTTGTCCTGGCCAGGGATATAGAGATTTACATGTTAAGGAATTCAGTTAATTCAAAATACAGTTACTTTGTAATTTTAAGTGAAAATTCTGTCTAAACTTTCATTTGCGTATGTTAAATTGTTCTTTTTAATTGAAGTGCCTCCATACTATAAGAGAACAATAGACCGAGAAGAACTCTAATCTGGTCAATATGGCTCTGCTTTTACAGTAACACCTTACACATGGACTATCCTTTTTTTCTATTATCTCATAAAATATGTCTGGGTTTTGGGATTGCAAGATTCGGCTACAAGTAACAGACTGAGATATTTGTAGGCTCTAAATTATTACCTTAGGGTGACTTACTACTTTTTGGAAAAATTGAGTTACATTTTGAGGAATTCTGCTTTACTTTTCATAAAACCTATCTGGCAACCTGCAAGGTTCTCACTGGACAAGTGCTGTTTACCTTCATATTTATGTTATATCATTATTATTTATAAATTAACAAAATTAGCATTCTGTATATGTATCTATATTCCATTTGCTTAATAAATTACATCAGTTACTAGGCATTTGGCATATTGTACAAATATATGTAAATCTTGAATAATTTGAAACTAATTCAAAGTCGTGATTATTTCATCCCTTGAATTTCGAACCAAAGAGGATTTCCTGTAATTATTACACTGTAAAAAGCTGAAATAATCAATAATCATTTACATAGATATAAATATCCTAATTATTAAAGTAGATTAATTAATTAAAGAAGTCTGTTTAATAAAAATTAGTCTACTGTCTCAATTATTAAAATAATATTATGATGCTACAAATTTTTAAAATTTAGAATATTTACCAATAATTTATTTGTAATATTTGCATCTGTTTGAAATAAGGCAATAGCTAAACGAATTCCTGCTTTCATATGTCGAACTTTATAAACTGGAACAGATTGTTTAAGTGCAGCATCGAAATTTAAACCTTCTTCAACCCAATTCAAAAGAGTCTCTAAAATAGCTATAATTCAAATAATTAAGTAATTATTTTTATAAATAATTTTAAAAAATTTATTATTACAGCTAACATTGAAGTTTTGACAATCTATTTTGATCTAAAAACATTACTTTTCGTATTCAGAAATATATTTAGAATATCATTTAATATTACCATCAAAATTACATAAGATTTGTATATTACAATTCATCCTTGATATAACAGTCTCTGATATATTAGACTAGATATACTAGATCAAATCAGAATAAATTTTGAAGTCACCACTCTACAGTATTTTTATAGTAAAACAGTAAAAGTATTTTCATTTATTTATTAATTCTTAAGATTGTTTTAATTTAGGTATTTTAGAGTACTTTGCTGAATACATTGAACCATATTCATAAGTAAATATAGTAAGACCCAGCTTAACGCGGGGGATGCATTCCTAGACAACAAAACGCTAAGTGAAACAGCGTTAAACGAGGTCATTTTAACATAGAGTAAATAGGGATAGGGAAACATGCGACCAAAAATAAACAAATTTTACTTTAAGTTATATTACTATACAAATTAATATAAAAATATTTTAAATAACACATAAACATATGCACATAGAAATGTAAAGTTCATTTTTTGTGATGAAGGTCCTGACTTTTCTGAAATTCTTCTTCTTTTACAATGAAGTCATGAAGTTTCATTTATCACTTTTTCCTTTTCTTATGCAAATGTCGATAGCAAGAGATTCCATTCAAAATGCCTCGTTTTGCTTTTGCACTCCTTTCAAAATCTGAATCATTCACTACAATTTGATCATCGATTTCAGTTATCTTACCAAACTTTTACTAAGTAAATCTGTAGAGAAATTTTTTAAGTTCTTTGTTTTCAGAATCTCTATTTTCCAGTTCCACATGAATTCCATGTTCTGCCAGTCTTTAAGGTCATCATTGAGAAGGCTATCACCAGAAACCTGCTGTAACTCCTCAATATCCTGCTCATCTGTACCTCCTAGTCCTGCTATATCGATTAGGTTGAGTTTGGTCAACCTAACGATACAGCGATAGGATCTTCTTGTTGAGAATTCTTGGATACCTTCAGTTATAACTTCTTCCACACTTCGTTCGTGCATTTATCAGTTAATTCTTGCCAAGCAAAGTTGATATTTTCTATTGCATCCATGATAATATATTTTTTCTAAAATTGCACCAAACAAGCATAGATTCAAAGAAAGTACACCTTTTTCCATCTTTTGCTGATTGGTTTGTGTTCACAAATAATTGTATTATATACAAATCAATGAAATGCTGCAATAATTTAAATTGGCATAAATTTTGAGCTTTTTTAGGCTTTGAGCAGACCATGTTATATCAAATCAGCATTAAGCAGGATCTTACTGTATCTCAATACACTAAAACTGTTAGTTCTTTAGTATAATCCTGGAAAAATTTTCATTTTCTTCAGGTTTATACTAAAATATACTATTATAATTAAAACTGTTTTAATTTACATATTTATTTATTATTTCACAGCCATATTAAAACTGCATATATTAAATGATTNCACATCTTTCACATAATTCCACAAAAAGAAATCTAAGGGGGGATCAGATCAAGAGATCTTGGCAACCACACTACCACACATACTGCCCACAACATGAAATGCTGCAATAATTTAAATTGGCATAAATTTTGAGCTTTTTTAGGCTTTGAGCAGACCATGTTATATCAAATCAGCATTAAGCAGGATCTTACTGTATCTCAATACACTAAAACTGTTAGTTCTTTAGTATAATCCTGGAAAAATTTTCATTTTCTTCAGGTTTATACTAAAATATACTATTATAATTAAAACTGTTTTAATTTACATATTTATTTATTATTTCACAGCCATATTAAAACTGCATATATTAAATGATTACTCATTGCCATGAACATTTGTGACTAATGAAAGATAATCTCCCATATATCTACCAAGAATAAATTGTCTTAAAAAATATTAATGTTTACTCATTCTATAATATAAAAAAGACCATTAATTAAACAACATTATAATTAATTAAAGCTTTAACTGCTGTTATTTTCAAAATGTTTTCAATATTTTAATTATCACAATTAAAAGATATAAAATTAAATTCTTAAAAACTCTTTTATAAAAAATTAAATAAACTGCTTTATTACAGGCATTATTGGATTAAGATGCACGCACAAAAGTAGAATAAATTTGCAAGTTAGAACATAAGTCTTCTGATTTCAACTGGTATTTAATACTTAGTTATTTTCTTCAGAATTATTACAATATATGGAGATAAACAGAAAGACAATTGGCAAAGTAGAGATTTTTGCAAGCTTCAATCTAGACATGAAAAAAAAAATCATTTTGTGACTGCTAGTTTCAAGCAGAAGCAAGTTTACAAGATCCCTGATAGACTAGAAAAAAGATTGTGATAGCAGTAGAAAGCCAGTTTCAGGTTGACCAAAATACAATTAGACAAAGACAGGAGTAGACTGAAGCATACCCTCAAATAACAAAGTTGGTCGGTTTTCAAATCATTGCCCTAAAAATATGATATATCAAAAAAAGCTACAAAAAGAATAATGTTTGATATGTGATATTTGATGAGAAGGATAGTGATGAGAAGGAAAAAGTCTACACAAAAAATGAACTGCAAATCACTGCAACAGAGGCAACTTGTTGCAGGGACTTGTTCACCTTCTTGAAAAGCATAAAAGATGCTTTCTTCAAAAGCATAAAAGATGCTTTTTTCACACTTGATGTAAACATGACATTGAGAGTTACTTATTGTTTCCTGCCTCCTCATCCTACAACTTATTTTTTTTTTAAAGAAGAGAAAAATATCAATGCTATTGTTACAATTTATACTGTAATTTAAGAAGTTTGCATTGAGATATAACCTAGTTTTGTTATTAAAGTTAATTATACTATAATAATTTGATTAAAGAAAATATTTATGAAAAAATATTTATAATTATTTTCTTAAAATTTAACTTACAATTGTATAAATTATCATCAGAAACTGATGCTAATCCTGAAGACAATAAATTAACCGCAATGGTTTCAACAGCTTCAACCCACCTGAAATTAAACATGTATAAATTTAAGAATATGAAAAATTAAATATTTTTAAAACAAATAAAAGTTTTATTACATCAGCAGAAAATTTTAAATTTTCTTACTTTTCTGTATAATCTTTGTCAGAAAATTGCTTAATTATTTGCAGTAATTTCTTTGCGTCTTCAGTAAGCTGACTGTTATCTTTATCAAACAAATTACTTCTGGTAACTTCAAAAGAAGTTAAAGAAGGATCACGAAAATACTAAAAATAATTTTAAAAATTTCTATCAGAAATAAATTATTATATGTTATTTTCACCTAACACACTAAAACAACATAGTTCATGAAAAATTAATAGCTTTATATGAGACCTTATTTTCTGTTGTTTTTGCAGTTACTTAACAGTAAATACACTTCTTAGTTTTTATATGTCAATGTATACTCTTTAAACAGATATTAATATTAATGAAAAATTTACTAATAGAAATATTTTTACTAATACTGTTTAGCAATAAATTTGTGATATACTGACTCTCTTATCTTTTTGAAGATTGACTTTCAATTCTGTTTAACACAAACGTTAAAATCAAAAAGCAATGTTTAATATTAATGATTTTACTACTAATTACTTTGATGTTAACAATTATTTTTGCAATTAAATATATCTTATTTAAATTACTGAATTACAACTGAATATAATATGATCTGTAAGTAACTTTTATTATTAACAGTGAAAAAATACATCAAGTATATAAATTAATATAAATTAATAATATATATATAATATATAGTATATAAATTAATATATCATATTCAATCTTCAGTTAAGTATTTAACTTATGAATGATATCTTATTTAAGTGAAAACAATATTTTTTGTTAGCATATTCAAAAGTGAAATTTGAAATATGTGAAATGGCATTCCAGTTCAATTGTTTTCATATTAACACTTTTCCATAGAGCACATATACAGGTATCTGTTTTTTTTTTTTATTCATGAGTNCTAACACACTAAAACAACATAGTTCATGAAAAATTAATAGCTTTATATGAGACCTTATTTTCTGTTGTTTTTGCAGTTACTTAACAGTAAATACACTTCTTAGTTTTTATATGTCAATGTATACTCTTTAAACAGATATTAATATTAATGAAAAATTTACTAATAGAAATATTTTTACTAATACTGTTTAGCAATAAATTTGTGATATACTGACTCTCTTATCTTTTTGAAGATTGACTTTCAATTCTGTTTAACACAAACGTTAAAATCAAAAAGCAATGTTTAATATTAATGATTTTACTACTAATTACTTTGATGTTAACAATTATTTTTGCAATTAAATATATCTTATTTAAATTACTGAATTACAACTGAATATAATATGATCTGTAAGTAACTTTTATTATTAACAGTGAAAAAATACATCAAGTATATAAATTAATATAAATTAATAATATATATATAATATATAGTATATAAATTAATATATCATATTCAATCTTCAGTTAAGTATTTAACTTATGAATGATATCTTATTTAAGTGAAAACAATATTTTTTGTTAGCATATTCAAAAGTGAAATTTGAAATATGTGAAATGGCATTCCAGTTCAATTGTTTTCATATTAACACTTTTCCATAGAGCACATATACAGGTATCTGTTTTTTTTTTTTTATTCATGAGTGATTTCATGATCAGTATGTATATGATTAATTTTTTATATCATCATCAAGTTTTATATATTTTAAGAAATACAGGGTGTTCTGCTCAAAAGTACCTGATTTGATTTGGCTATAAAAATTAATGGTTAAAGACATAAGTTCACCAAAGATTTTATATGAGAAAAAACTCACCAAATTTCATTGAAAAAAATCACATCATCTCTCTGTGTGCTCCAGCAGTCACAGTGACAACATCAGGGGAATAAGCAATTTCCTGCTATGTATGCTGCAGCATGTCATGTCTCATACTGGTGATGGCTACAATGATGTGCTCCCAAAAATCCTGAAGATCTCTGACTGAAGTTGCATAAACCACATCTTTCACATAATTCCACAAAAAGAAATCTAAGGGGGGATCAGATCAAGAGATCTTGGCAACCACACTACCACACATACTGCCCACAACCTGCACTTTCTCTTGTGGCGAAGCCATGACTGGACATTAATGCTCATGATTCGACTTCTGTGTCACCTTGCAGTACAAAAATCTCTATAAAACTTGATGAGTTTTGCCACCAGATTTCACCTGTTGCTTTTATATATCTTAAACCATTCACATTTTATGGTAAATTAAAATTGCTACTTTTGAGCAGAACACCATGTATTAAAAGCTTTACTGTTGTTTTAAGAAAAATACATATATTTGAAATATTAATGAAAAAAGACTAACTGAATTAATAACTCTTATGAAAGTTTTTGGGCATAACATATACATTTTTTAAAAATCTTTGATTGCACTATGAATAATAAATCTATTAATGGTTTTAGTAACTTCACTATGGCATACAATAAAATACAATGAAAGCAATATTTCATGTTTGTGTTTTAATATCCAAATCTGCTAATTTATATGTTCTAAGAAATAATACTTGAAGAAGAAAGTTTCTCTTACATTCAATGTATATACACAGTCTTCCAAAATAAAATCTACCATTTTAAATTACTGTAATTATAGTAATTATTATCTGAGAAGTATGCAATGTACACCAATAGATAGAGTAACTTCATCCCCCAGCAGCATTCAAATGTTTTATTATCTACTATCTCTAAGAAACACTGTAAATAAAAATGGCAACTCCACAATAGACAAGGCATTTTGTGTTCTGCAAAGTCACAAAAATGAGTGATCTGCAGGAGTTGTAGAATTGCAGCTGCTATGAGAGGAGTGACCACAGATATGCTGTAACGAGCATAAGAAGAATTTGAGTATTGGTTGGATGTGTACTGGGTAACATGAGGTGCACACGTAGAAATTGTATTAAGCAAATGTAAAACTTGTACAGTTTTCCATTGTTTTAATGTACATTACAACATTCTCAGATAATAATTAACATAATTATAATAATTTAAAATAGTAGTATTCATTTTGGAAGAACCATATATATTTGTATATATTTAACCATATATAACTGTATATATTTTCATCATTTGCTATAAATGTAGATAGCTAGCTATCTCTGAAGTAATATAAGAAACCTGTATGAAACTACAATTTTATTTTTATAAACAATTATAATAATTAAAAAATAATAATTAATTATTTTAATTTAATCAAATGATTAAAAATTCTTCTCTAATTATTAATTATTCTTAACAGATTGATTAAATTGTGTTATGGAAAACAAAAATAAATACGTTTTACACAAAATAAAAAATTTAACCAAAAACAAAAACTTTATTTTGGTTTAAATTGTAATTTTAACTTTTTATAAGATGTTTTTTAATGCATGAATGGAAACAATTATTGATATTAACATTTGTAAGCATTAAAAACTCTAAAAACCTATAATACAGCAATCAACACAAGCGAAAATGTTTGCATGTATTATAAAAATTGCTGGATTGTAGGTTTTTAGTCTTTTTAATTCAAGTATAACCAATTTTGAATGGTAGTATTATTTGTAATCATTATTAGCAATAAATAAAATCAAATTTTACAAATAAAAAATATATTTATCTAAATATACTTAATTTTATCTATCATTAAATATTAATTTAATTCAATATAAAATTAAATTAATTTTAATTATAAATTTCATAAACAACAGGAAAAAACAAAAGATCAATTAGAATAAATCAAATAAAAAAATTATAAAAATTTATGATGCATAATATAATAAAATAATGTTGAATAACATACTTGAAGAGGTACTAATTCAAACTGAAATGGATTGAAGCTTGACATATAATTCCATGTTTCATCTCCAATATCATAATCTAATTCAACCTATTCAATAATATAATAATAATAAATTATCAAGTAATATAAATTACATATAAAATAATGAATATAGATGACAGAAAATATTTTTATTAATATTTATCATCATAAATAAACTTACACCTTTTTNATATTCCATTTGCTTAATAAATTACATCAGTTACATGGCATTTGGCATATTGTACAGAAATATGTAAATCTTGAATAATTCAAAATGCAATTATTTTTTTCCCTTGAATTTCGAACTAATGAGAATTTCCTGTATATGCTTCTTATCTTTTTATATAAATTTGAAGTTTCAAAGAACAATTTGCTGTATTTACTCTTCATGACAAATTCTAAATAAATTATGTTCAGAAGTTTCATTTATATCTAATGTATATCAAATGTTTTGTTTTCAATAATGGTTCTCAGCACTATAAAAATAGCTTTTGTTTTTGTTTGGTACAGTACAATAATTTCCAATGGGTATATTTTAAATTAAACAACAAATTCAAAAAGAAAAAATTAAATTGGAATATGTCATGAAGTAAATAAACAATGTTATCTTGATTGTCATGCAATATTTTACACAAAATAAAAAATTTTAACCAAAAACAAAAACTTTATTTTGGTTTAAATTGTAATTTTAACTTTTTATAAGATGTTTTTTAATGCATGAATGGAAACAATTATTGATATTAACATTTGTAAGCATTAAAAACTCTAAAAACCTATAATACAGCAATCAACACAAGCGAAAATGTTTGCATGTATTATAAAAATTGCTGGATTGTAGGTTTTTAGTCTTTTTAATTCAAGTATAACCAATTTTGAATGGTAGTATTATTTGTAATCATTATTAGCAATAAATAAAATCAAATTTTACAAATAAAAAATATATTTATCTAAATATACTTAATTTTATCTATCATTAAATATTAATTTAATTCAATATAAAATTAAATTAATTTTAATTATAAATTTCATAAACAACAGGAAAAAACAAAAGATCAATTAGAATAAATCAAATAAAAAAATTATAAAAATTTATGATGCATAATATAATAAAATAATGTTGAATAACATACTTGAAGAGGTACTAATTCAAACTGAAATGGATTGAAGCTTGACATATAATTCCATGTTTCATCTCCAATATCATAATCTAATTCAACCTATTCAATAATATAATAATAATAAATTATCAAGTAATATAAATTACATATAAAATAATGAATATAGATGACAGAAAATATTTTTATTAATATTTATCATCATAAATAAACTTACACCTTTTTTCTTTTTATATAAATTTGAAGTTTCAAAGAACAATTTGCTGTATTTACTCTTCATGACAAATTCTAAATAAATTATGTTCAGAAGTTTCATTTATATCTAATGTATATCAAATGTTTTGTTTTCAATAATGGTTCTCAGCACTATAAAAATAGCTTTTGTTTTTGTTTGGTACAGTACAATAATTTCCAATGGGTATATTTTAAATTAAACAACAAATTTAACTTGTATTTTAGAAATATGCTGGACAAATCAAAAGGTTTGATGCAGGAATCGGGGCATACTAAATTACAAATAAACATAATAATATACTGAATATTATACTGTAAAAATATAAAATAATTTATATTGTTAATTTAAATAACAGCTAGGGGTGCCCCTAGCGGCCGTTTTTGACATACCAGGACAGAAAATGCCCAGTTTTTCAGCTTTATCTAGTAGATATTTAGGTCAATGAAACTTCATTGCATTTGCTTTATAACACACATCTTAAAAACTAGTAAGTCAATTATTTATTATTTTAATAAATTTAAAATATAAAATAGCATATATAAAACAGTGATTTCACAAAACAACATGAACATTACCAAAATACAAAACTTTTTTATAAATAGAGATAACTTCCATCAATAGAGATATCCTATCAATCTATAAATATATATCTAATTAAAACAGATATTATACATCACATTTATATATGTATGTATAAAATGTAGATATATAAATTGATAACATATTGTTATCAATTTAACATGTTTTAACATATTTCATATTTATTATCAATGCAAAGCAATCAGAAGAAGAAACTAAAAAAAGATTTAATGGTTTTAACATTTCCACTTGTAAACAGCTTTAAACTGAAATTAATGAACATATGATTGAGTAACACTCTTCTACTTCCTTTATAACTTGCAATTAATAAATAATAAATTACTAATTACTACACTAAAACAATTGTAATATACATATTTAAGTGTATTTGCATTTAATTTAAAAGTTTTAAAATTGATTCAGTTAAAACTTTTCCCAATCTCTTCTCTTGTCATTTTTAAAAAAGACTATTAATTAGTGATAAACACCACAATTTTTTATCCTTTTAATATAATTAATCAAATGTATATCAGAGCCACATCTATGCAACTAATTACCTGTATCTTGAAGCATCAAAATGCTATATCTCAAAATGGAAAAGACATTGTTCTGATATCTTCCTTTGTAGGACAACAAAAAATTTTTGATAATAATAACGTATCCAAAATTTCCTTTTATTTGAAAAATTCTTTTAATCCTGAAAGTAAACTCAGTAAACACTTCAATTCTAACATTCCTGGACCACTGATTCAACTACATAATATAGATCAGTGATTCCCAAAGTGATTGCCTTCTAATGCTCCCTTGAGTCTTCTACCTCATTGAGAGTGGTAGTAGGGGTGTTGAAAGACAAAGGGGACAAAAATTCATTAGAAAACAAAAATTTACACACACACATATATATAAGAAATATACAAACAAAAAAGGGGGCAGTAGTTAGAAAAGTTTGGGAAACATAGTGCCTCTTGATTGTATATAATTAAATATGCTAATATCAACTTTATATTCAAGCATAAAGCTATTTCCCTCATTACTTTGTATAAGTTACTACTCTGTAATTAAAATCACCATTAAGAAGTTTACATAAAACTTCTTAAAATTTAAGTTTTTTTTTTGTTATACACTCTAGTTCCATCATAAATTCCTGATGACAATATTCTTTAAATGTTAGAAATGTTCAAATTTTATATTTGTTTCACATCCTTTCATTTAAATGTGTATCAGAGCTTACGTTCACTCACAAACTTTGAAACTCACTCAAAAATTTTTTGAAATTAAACAATTTTCTTTGTTAAATTTTATAAGCCTGAAACTTGACCAATGCAGAAACAGAAGAAGTTTCTGGGTACAAAAATTTTAACTTAAATAAAGAAGAAAATCAAGATTCCACTTGTAGACAAATGAGTAAAAACCTCCAGAATAAAGCATGACAAACTGTGCTCAGCATAATACAGCATAACACATTGCTAACAATTTGCATTGTACAAACTATAGAGTAGATAGAAACTAAATAATATCAAGTATTCAAAAACAAATTGATTAACATGTTGATAATTACAGCAATTGAAGTAAACAGATAATTACTGTGTTAAAATTCCTGAAAAAGTCAGATCACAGAATAATTTAGTCACTGTATTATTGTAATGTGATTAGAATTTCCGATGGCAGAATGAGACATCAGTTTTTGGTACTTGAATTGGCTTACTATCATATGGGCTCATAAGGCAGTGTGCATTTATTGTGATGGCATTGAGATAGGGAGACTGTCAAGAGGGTGTTGAATGCTGACAAGTGGATGGGAACATCATCAGAGTGTTTACGCATTGTATACAGAAGAGAGGTGTGAGCAAAATTTCTCATCGCAATATGTGCAAGCCGTATAAGGATTGCATTTGAAAAGTATTCAAATACCTAGTACAAGTTCTTGGAAACAAAACCTTTTTTACTTGAATTCTTGCATCCAAATATTCCCATCTTTAGTTTGAAATCATTTTGGATTAATTTAAGACTATTGATACAAGTTTTTTTTATGAATGTAAAAGTGATTTTACCATAAATATAATGAAGATAAAAAAAAAAAAGGTAAAATATACAGTAGAGCGTCGTTTATCTGAAACGTCGGTTATCCGAAGGAATTTCAGTCAACAAATTTAAATTTTCGCCAGTGCTGTGGCCTGTAATCTTTGGCTATGTCTTCGGCTACTCAAATATTTTACGTTTTTGATACTCAATTAACTTCTGAAGTATAATTTTTTATTGTTTTTATATTTTTCAATATATTTATTTTGTTTGTACAAAATAAAAAAATAATTTTTAACGATACAATAGTCTTTGTTAGGCTTAACATCGACGAAAATTCAACGCAAAGCGACACGCAACGGAGAAAAATTTCAACACGGGATAAATTAATATATTTTTTCGTACATAATTGGTTATCCAAACAACCCCAGTCCCCAATTGATTCGGATAAACGACGCTCTACTGTACTAAAACCTGTTCAAAATTACCTGTCAAACAGTAAAAAATATTTTGTATTGTGCAATTTCAGTTTACACAGATTTTACTATATTAAAAAAAATCTAAAATTCTAATAAAATTTATTGTTAGATATAAATTTTTACCATGTCAATAACTCTTTCATCAACATCAGACATATCTTCTTCTTCACTAACTATTGCTTCATATACATCATCATCTTCCAGGTTTCCTTCTATTATTTCTCCATCAGACAAAGTATATTGTTCACAAGGCAAAGGATCTGGTGTAAGTGGCTCAAATAAATCTTCAGCAACGGCATCTTCTGAAACTGTTTCATCTACTAATTCACCAGGTTCATCTTCTTTTGGAGTTCTTGGACCACAAGCAGATGTTTTTTCAGTTTCAACTGATATGGGAGACTGAGGAGTTCTTGGTCTATATGATTTTGGAGATGATGATGATGGTAATGGTGATGCTTTTCTATTTAAATCTGATCTTTGTCTGTCATGACTTTCTCTACTTGAATCTCTAGATCTTGAACCAGATCCTTTATCTCTTATGGAATCACGAAATCGTTCTCTTTCCTTCGGTCTATCTCTAGCACGGTCTTTATCACGATCTCTTTCTCTGTCTTTATCCTTGTCACGTTCCCTTATACCAGAATCTCGACTTCTATCACGTTCTTTTTCTCTGTCTCTGGGATACCTATCTGATACTTCCTGTGATTGTCTTTCCCAATTTGAATCTCTACTTTTATGATCTCTATCACGTCTCTTTGAATCTCTACCAGAACTCCTACTTTGTCTATCATCATCTTTATACTCTGGATGAATATCACGATCTTTTTCCCAATTTCTATCCCTGTCTCGATCTTTTGGTTCAGTTTCCTTTTCTCTGAGAAACGTGGATTTATGATCATGTACAGATTCATGTGAATAAATTGATCTATCTGACATATCTTGAGAATTTCTTAATTCTTGATGCTCCCACATAGGATGTACACCAATACCTGATCCTCCATAAACTTTTGCATCTTGTCTGCTGTAAACCTGTCTATCATAGGATTCTGTTTCTCTTGGGTAAGAATCATCTTGAGAAGACCAAGTTTTTGTGTAAGGAACATCATAAGGAGGATAAGATGATTGTGGAGGTGGTGGAGGTGGTGGTGCACCATGATTTCCAGAAAGTGAACCACTTAAATGTTCAGGATATGCTATTGTTTGTGGCTCAACATAAACTGTTGATGGTGCATGTTCAACAAAAGATGGAGGACACTGTTCAGTACGAACAACAGGAAGAGGTTCAGTATAATGAGAACTTTCTACTACAGTTGGTGGTGGAGGAGGAGGATGAGCACGAACAGGTGGCGGAGGTGGCTCAACAACAGGTTTAAGAATTTGCTGATGCTCCCAGTCAGACATAGGCACTCCTACAGGTTTCACTGGAGGACATTCAAATTCCAAAGGTGGGATTACGGGCCTTAATTCTGAAAATATATTATTTACATTAAATATATAACAAATAATAATAAACAGCTGCATATATTACTTATTAATATATATAGAATACTAAATGTTCTTGAACCATTTTATACTTACAAATTTTATAAGATAGAAATTATCAGTCAAGGATTGAAAAATTACCAAAATATCACATTGTTTCTGATATTAAACCTAACTAATAAAACTGTCTTTTGTTTTATAATTAGAAAATTATTTATTATTATAGCAAAATTTAAAAAAAACTGTACTTAGAATATCACAATAGAATTATAGATCCAAAAATGTAATACATTATCTCTGCTTGATACATATCATGCAAATTGTGCTGCATCTATCTAAGAATTTGCCTCACAGATTAACAAATTGGACAGCCAGCAGTCATAATGTTTTTTAATAAAAAACTATTTTGCATTTGATAGTGTTTTTTTAATAGTAAACAGTTAAGAAAAAAAGAAGAAACATATCAAAGACTAGTTTAATTCTATTATTTTATTAAAGTAAGTAATATTGCAAAGAAAATATACTAAGTATGTAATTCGACACCCCTACTGTTTATTGTCACACATATACTTTAACCTGCAAATGTCTTGACACCTGCTTTAGAAACATGTAATTAGACAGCAGATGTAATTACAGAGGATTGTAAAATAAATAGGGCCTCATCTTAGGGCCTCCTGTTAGGGCCTTTTTCTCTCTAGGCCATCCGACTTCTGGTCAACATTCTTTTTTTTTTCTTTTAACTTCACCCCACTTACTGTTATATAACTACCCTTCTGTTTAAAATTTAAAAAAAAATATTAAATATCTGATTTTTTTAACTGAGGCCCCCAAATAAACAAAGTATCATATTACAGGCAGCAGTTAACATGTTAATTTTAAAACAAGTTGACAATTAGATACAAGTTACAGGAAAATCAATTACAGAATAAATCATATTGTGAGAGTCAGACTTGACAAAAATTTGGACAGAAAATTCAATTTTTGTCTTTCAAATTTTTCCCATTCTTATTACTGGAGAATGATCGCATCTCTCTCCGGAGTCATTTCCTTTCCCAGGGAACTCATCAAATGTGTCACTGGGAACTAATAGCAAAAATTCACGATTGATGAAAAAGGATAATGTGATTTGGAAGTATAAAAGGAGTAACTGAAGAACAAGGGGTTGTTGAAAGTTCACGAGCACATCAACCAAGTGCCCTGAAAAAAAGAAGAGGTATTATTGTTGTCCAGGCTATCAAGGATTTCATACTCTGTATTTTTTGACACCTTCGAACTCCCCGAATTATTATATCCTTCAGTTTTCCATTGGTTTGACCGCCATCCAAGCAAAAGAAAAATTAATGCCTCCCCAACCACTCCAACCGACTGAAAGTCAGTGATCAGAAATCTGCACAATTAAGTGCATCAAAGGTATCTATACCAACTCGTGGTTTCTTATAAACTCTCTCTCTCTCTCTTGACCGTTATTCGACAGCATAGAGCTATGTATTCCGTTTTTGTTGAATTAAATTGGTTATTTTAGTTGTTAACCTTGTATCCAAGTGATTCACTTCCGATCCGTTTCTCAATCCTCTGCCATCTCGAATCTGATCGCCCACGCACGTGACTGCTCGTGCAAATTCTGAATATGCGGCTGTTAATGTTTTGTGTCTATCCTAGAAGACACAGTGGAGTTGGTACTGACGAGGCACTAAAGAGGTGCCGATTCTCTGATCACAAGATAAAAAGTTAAAAAAAAAATATAACTAAGCTAGCATGACATCTTTGTACACAATATTGTAAATTGACTGAAATCTAAATAAAGACAGTTTTCTAAAAGCAATATGGCATTAATCATGCAGAAGAAAAACAAATGCCCACTAAGATTGAGATTAAATGCCTATTAAGAATTAAGATGAAAGTTAGGTACAGCAATGCATAAATTATTCTACACTGGTGTGCAAAACTTAAACAACAATGTAATTTTTAAGCAGACAGTCATGAAATTGTAGAGAAAGGCTTGTTGCAATCAGTACAGTGAACACCCAAGTCGGTAGAAAGGTGGTTCATATTCAGGAAGAAGACATCACAGGTGATGTGACGGCATATAGAATGTGTGCAGTAAGTACATGTAATGCAAGACTACAAAAAGGAGGCTTTGATTCCATACTGTATGCATTCTATTCATTTTTGCACTAGTATGCTTTCTTCATCCTTTAAGTATAAAATACTGTCTCTGTATTCTGAATTTCATGTCTCCCAAATGATTTCTTGCAGAGTTATGGCAAAAAAAAAACAATTGCTGCTTAAGTTTTGCACACAAGTGTAGTAAATTTTATTGGCATGCAAAGGGAAAATATGTTAATAAAAAAAATCCATTAAAATACTTATAAGATAAAATTTGGACAAAATAAGAAACACAGTGCAATAAGTCAGATGTCTTGTCAAGTTTAGTATTTTGATGTGGCAAGAATTAGTAAAGTGTAGATGACACAATTTAGTAAAGGGGAAATAGAATTTATTGCATTTTGAAATATCCTTGTGAAGAAGAATTGAAGTAGCAGAGAAAATACTTGAAGTAGATTCAAATAATGTAACTTTTACTAACAAAATAGTCTTTTACTAAAAAATTAGCTTATCAGAGTAAATTTTATTAATATAAATGAAAGTTTTACTAATAAATAGTACAGTAGAGCATCGATTATTCGAATACCGATCAACTGAAGCATTGGTTAACTGAAAGCGTCCCAGTCTGCAAATTCAAATTTCTGCTAGTGCTGTCTGTGGTACTTCAATATTTGGCTATGTCTTGGGCTACTCCAATATCATTTTTGTTGGTGTGTGTGTTTTAGTTGGCAGCACTGGTATACATGAGAGGGTACCTAAAGATGCGCCAGTATTTGAACGTGCCTTTTTTTCGCCATTGTGGGTGGTGAACTTTGCTTGTTTTGTTTGGTGTTTTTCTGAGGACTGTGTCAGGACGTGTGTCGTGCTGAATCGGAATGTTTTTGATACTAGATTAACTTCTGAAATATAATTTTTTTATTGTTTTTATATTTTTCAATATATTTATTTTGTTTGTGGAAAATAGAGAAATAATTTTTAACAATACAATAGCCATGATTATTATTAAAAAAAATTTTGTTAAGCTTAACATTGACAAAAATTCAATGCAAAGCGACATGCAATGGAGAAAAATTTCAACATGAAATAAATCAATATATTTTTTCATACATGATCAGTTATCTGAACAACCCCAGTCCCAAATTGTTTTGAATAATCGATGCTCTACTGTACTACTGTAGTTTTCTCCAACATAACTCTAAAAAATTTCTATTTTGTACTAAAACAAAAGCATGATAATAAGACAGTAATACAAGAAATAATCTCTATAATGTGAATCCATAAGCAAAGAAACATATTCAAAATATCAATCAACAACCAGAAGTGAAATCAACTACTTTCATCAAAGTTAATTTTGATTATATTCTTTACGAAAAAATTAATAATTTATAAAACTAAGTTACCAATTGGTTGTGATCTAAGATTAGTTTGAGGTGGTGGAGGAGGTGGTGGTGGTGAAGATCGTTCTTTGCAAACTTTTGTTAGCATACCATATACAGCCAATGTAATTGTACAATACCATCCTCTAAGCACAAGACCATCTGTTGGAATCTAAAAACAAAATATTATTTTTGTTTTATACATTTAAAAAAATAAATAAATTTCACGAAATAATAAATATTACATTTCAATAACTAAAATTATTTATATTTAAATAATTCATATTTTTATTGTATTTTCAATGAGCTAACATAAGAAATACATTTTTTTTCATCACGTTTTTAAGAAAAATGACAAAAATTGCATTCAAATGTACAATAGAATCTCATTATAATTAATTTAAAAGGACCCCCAAAAAATGTTTGTTAAACTAAAAGTTTGTTGGAATGAAAAATGTGTATAAATTATTGTCAAGCAAGTTAAATATAAAGTCGATAATGTAAAAAAGATGTTATATATTACTTATATAGTAAGACCCCGCTTAATGCTGATTTGATATAACGCGGTCTGCTCAAAGCCTAAAAAACAGGCTCAAAATTTTGATTTAAATGATTGCAGCATTTCATTGATTTGTATATAATACGATTATTTGTGAACGCAAACCAATCAGCAAAAGATGGAAAAAGGTGTACTTTCTTTAAATCTATGTTTGTTTGGTGCAATTTTGGAAAAAATATATTATCATGGATGCCATAGAAAATATCAACTTCGCTTGGCAAGAATTAACTGATAAATGTACGAACAAAGTGTGGAAGAAGTTATAGCTGGAGGTATCCAAGAATACAGCGATAGGATCCAAGATACAGCGATACCTAAAGATACAAGCGATTCTCAAAGAGAAGAGCCTATCGCTGTATCTTTAGGTTGATCAAACTCAACCTAATCGATACAGCAGGACTAAGAGATATAGACAAACAGGATATTGAGGAGTTACCACAGGTTTCTGGTGAGAGTCTTATCAATGATGACCTTCAAGAACTGGCAAAACAAGTAATCCACATAGAACTGGAAAATAGTGATTCTGAAAATGAAGAATCTAAAAAATTTCTCTACAGATTTCCTTAGTAAAAGTTTGGTAACAATAACCGAAATCGTTGATCAAATTGTAGTGAATGATCCAGATTTTGAAAGGAACACAAAAGCAAAACAAGGCATTTTGGTTGTGATCTTCTGCTACCAACATTTACTTAAGGAAAGATAAAAGTGACAAATGAAACTTCAGGACTTTATTGCAAAAAACAAAAATTTCAGAAAAGTCAGGGTCTTTGTCACAAAAAATGAACTATTAATATAAAAAGTGAACTTATTAATATACACACAGAAATGTATAATAATATATGTTTATGTGTTATTTAACATATATTATTATACAAATTAATATAAAAATAACTTAAAATTAAAGTAAAATTTTTTTTATTTTCGGTTGAGTGTTTCCCTATCCCTATTTACTCTACGTTAAAATGACCTTGTTTAACGCTGTTTCATTTAGTGCTTTGTCATCTAGGAACGCATCCCCGCATTAAGTGGGATCTTACTGTATCAAGTTTTACTTATTTAATGAAAATAAAATACAGTCAAACTCAGTTATAAGGAACTTTATGAGACCGGCAAGATTTACTTGTTATAACCATTACTTGTTACATCAGTGAATAGCAATGATGTAACCAGAGGAAAAATGAGCGGCTACCTTGGGTGCAAACATGTAGAGGGCACCCTGCAGGTGGCAAAATTTGTAGCTACATTACTAATAATTAGTGGAGTCTATCCTTTAATTTTTAATTGTAAATAAGTTGATTTAAAAAAGAAACATGTAATTATATTATGCTGTATTTTTTTAATAGTTACATAAACTACAATATAATTAATATTAAACAATTTATTTTTTTGTAATTAAAGATAATACTAATTACCATGAGCAGTTTCAGTCAGTCTTTTATGTACAAATCTTAAAATTGATGTTTGTTTTATTTTTTCATAATTAGATACTGTTGAAGATGACAAAGAACTGTGAACTTTCTACACACTTTGACATTTTTAGTACCATATTCTAACTGGCAAATAATTTCTATTTTTTTGTAAACTGAGAGAAATTTTCTTTTCGTCATATACATCTTTCTCATAGAAGGGTTCATTTGTAACTAGAGTATATGGTAATTTCACAACTATAGTGATGATTAGGTAAATTAGCAAAGTATGGCCAGTAGCTAGTCAAGAAAGAGGGAGATGATCTCCAAAAAGAAAGTTAAGTGATAAATAGGCTTGTAATTGATGCAGATCATAAGTAACTCTTTCAGTTTTATCTATTCCAAGAATTTGGTATCGCATTTCTTACTATTTGAACAATAAGAATGCTCATATGTTTGCATAGCTACCAAAACTTTGCTCTTCATTTTAATCATGAGAAAATGTAGAGAAATATGCAAAAATTAAAATTGTTATGGCATTTTGCTCGTTATATCCATATTCGATATAACTGAGTTCAATCATAGTTTAGTTCAATTTAATTCATACCACCAAATCATAGTTTAGTTCAATTTAATTCATACCACCAAATCATATTCCTCCCAAGCTTTAGTTTCCTGCATCAAAGAGGGATGGGCCAGAAAAAGCCTTCAGACATTTCCCTCATTCTGATGTCCTTCAATTCCAGCTTATCCTCATTCTTTAAGTGAGTAATAGGATAAATAAAAAACTTAAAAAAGGCATAAATGGCTTGTGATTTGGTTTAGTTTGATAGATAACAGTATGCACCATTTGAGTGATCTGCCAAGGATGGAACCTTTCCAGAAGGACTTTCTAAGGAAAATTGGTCCCTATTTAGATGTTAGATACATGAACAAAAAAAACCAGCAATGCGATTGCTCAAGTTTCCTGGCAACATTTAAAAATTTGGTGGCACAATCTGTTATCATATTTTATTAAAAACATTTTATATTTTAAACTATTATAAAATGGCAAAAAGTTTAATTTTTAGGGTAGGAATGAGTTTGATAAAAAAATTATAAATGCTAATAATAGGTAAAATCATCTGACTCTACTGGAGATACACACAATCTCCATTATCTCTCCATCCTCTTGACCTTTAACCATCAAAATTTATTAGCATAAGTCCCCCAATAAACAAACTTCCATGCAAAATTTCAGAAATTTTTGACAAAAAGCACAGGAATTATCAAGCTTCAAAGAGGATGAACAAAATCGTGCCCCCAAACACATTAATATCCATATATACAGAAATTACCCCCAAATTTTTTTCATTTCTCAATGGTTCAAGGTGTCCTAGGTTCAAAAATATAAAAATCTTGGAGGGGGTCATTTTTTGACTAATCACCGTACTTTCCCTCTGTTATATATAGCAGCTGGAAAAGTAAAAATAGAAAACTCCACATGGTCAGCCTGTTGGTGAGATTCAGTAGTTTTATCCACTCAACCACTATCTTGTTTCTCTTGTTGAAGTTAGTACACTTGCAATATTGGTTGAGTCCAAGCTCTCTAACTGTCTTCAGTAGACTGTTTACCAGTGAAAGGCAATAGTGAAAAAAAAGGAAATAAGTGGTGTAATGAAATTGTTATAGTGAAGCAAAAATTACAGTAATTCTATTACCATGAAAGTGACAGAAAAGAAATGTTACACAAACATTTGTTATAAATTATAAATATGTTCATACAACTGAAAGGTTTTGTCATGGGTTCTTATAAAAGTTGGAGCAGGGAAAATCTACAAGTTCATTATTATGAAGTTTGCTGTAATGAGATTCCACTGTACTAATATGAAAATACTTAAGTTTTGAGCACATCCTAAATCCCTAAATTACATTATTATTTTTTCTACATGTCCATATTATTTTTATGTGCATCAATGTAATTTTAAAACAATAAATATAAATAAAAGTTAAATAGACAAATTAAGTGACTGATATTATTTAATTTTACCTTTGATGTTCACTATTTAAAAATTAGACTGTTATGCATAAAAAGAATGTGGATTTAAGGACTCTCCTAAATCCACATTCATAAATACACCAATGAACATGCAGTTCATTGGTGTATTTATGTAGAAGTTTCTGAATTTTCTAATAAATATATGCAGTATAAAATATGTTTTGCTGAACAAAAATATAATAATAAAGTAAAAATTACTAAATAAGATTATTGAGGAAATTTAATAAATATCACAAACACATAGATTATAAAAAAATCTACATGGTAAAATTCAGTAAAATTAAAACAACTTCCTCAATGAAACAAAAATATAATTGACATTGATTATTATTTATCCTTACTTATGTGTTCACCAATAATTATTGAAATTTTACATAAGAATCAAATAAAAATATTTATTACTAGATAACACTAATAGTCAGCTAGAATATATAAAAGGAAATAAATAAAATAATGCTGATTATTATTTTAAATTCTAAGCATTAATATATAATTGTATTATACTATTTGAATCTACTAATTCTTTTAAGATTATAGTTTTACAAAATATTTACTTTTCATATAAAAACAATATTTACCTTATCCATAACAAGAAATTGAATATCCACATTCTGTTTATATTCAAGGCTGAAAATTAAAATAATATTATGATATAAATTTAATTGAAGAGAAAGTAATACATCAATTTAACATATTATTTATTATACTTACTTTCCTAATTTTTTGAAAGTACAAGCACCAATTGTACTTAAATCATTAACAAAAAATTCAAGTTGAAAAGTTGAAGGATTTGTAGCCCTGTTAAAATAAATTAAGTAAAATTTTTATACTTTCCCAATATATATAAATAATTTTATAAATGCAAAAATCAAAAATAATGATTTAATGAAAGCAGAACATTACAAAGCATAAAAGTATGCACACAAAGAACATTTAAGCATTTTTAAATCATTCAATCCATTATCAGAAATGTTAACACCATTGCTAGAGATGTACCAATTAATCATTTGCAAATCATCAATTTGAAGAATCATTGATCTTATTGACTTATGTGTACACCACTATGTATATAAAATAAGAAAATTTAACTCAGTTTCTGGTAATAATTTAATATATATTTCAATAAAGTTAATAAATTCAAATATTTTTGAAAATTACGAAATATCATCAGAAATAGCTCTCTTTTTTGGGGAGGGTGAGCATAAAGAACTCAAATATGAAAACAGAAGGAAATAAAAAAATAACAAATTTTACAAAAGTGGAAATCAGATAAAGAATACCTATACAAATTAGATACAATTTTTTTTTTTGCATTTTTGGACAAAGTACAGACAAACAGATAATTGTATAATACCTTCCATAGGAACTCAAAGTTCTTTCTAAATTGTACAAGTAGCTGGAATGCATTCTTTGACTAACAGTCTTAGAGGGCAATTATTTGAGGTTAGTATGCTTACAAAAATGATGATGATAAACAAAGGTTTTCTATTAAATTGTTTTATGGGTTAGGACGCAATTTAGCTTCTTGTTAATAACAATTATTCCACATTCAATAATATGATCTATTTACAAAAACAAGGCTTCCCAATGGGATCCCTATCATCATCAGTCTTAGAAGAAATATTAGTGAAAAATTTAGAATGCAAGATTTTTGAACTTCCCATCACAATAAATTATCTCGTATTATATTTGTGATATGTACATGACATACTCATATCATGGGAAAGATTGTTAGATGAGTTTAATGACTTTGCTCATATTCTAAATAAAATATATCCTACCATTAAATTCACTGTAGAGTATAAAACTAGTCAACAAATAAATTCCTTTTTAAACTTCAAATTTTTCACAGTAGCCATAGTTTAAGGTTTGGAATATACCACCAGTTTAATGCTGTCATCTCTAGCAACTCCTACTAGCCACAGCAATACAAGCATATGGTCATAACTATGTTAATATGCAAAACACATATTTTATCATCATCAACATATTACAAAAAGAGTTGAATATCTTCATCAGTGGTTTAACTAGATATTTTAGTATCTTAAGAAAAATTTAGTAAAGGGCTCTCCAATGCTTAAGGCCTAGCCCCTCCTCATTCATGATAGTATAGAAATTTAAACAAAATTCTGCAGATTCCATTTCTTCTAAAATTTATTTTATTCATGACTTTTCACTTTTCATTGTTTCTTCTATTTCATTTAATGGTTCCAAAACAGTGGTGTACTCAGGGGATGAGCTAAGGGGCCCTGGCATCCCCGAAAGTAAAAGAAACACTAGTAAATTTTCCAAAAATATTTTCCTAAATAAAATTTATTTGAATATTATGTTGTCTTCTATTTCTATATTACTTGTGAATTAGCAGTCACATAGGTGGTAATTTTATTGAATTTGCATTAAAAATTTTTTTTTATCTGTTCAACTCAGCTTTCCCCAAGATTAATAATTCTTGAATTTGGGTCTGCAACTGTTCCAAAATATTTAGTACTTTTGAAACTGGCAGATTCTTCTGACAGATTTAAAGCAGAAATAGAAGCATTTCCATTAAAAAAAAAAAAAAAATTGAAATTTTTGATATTTTGTTTAATATCTCTTCTTTTGTCCTACTTTTTGTAACTAATAGTTTTACTCAAATGTTTGTCAGTCATGGGTGATTGAACTTTGATAAATAATATGAAGATATTTAAAAGTTGTTTTTTAATATTAATTAATTTAGAATATTTATATTACATAATATTTTTGTAGTCTGTACATTATAAATTTAAAAATTTAATAATCAATTAAAAGTAATTTTTGGCTGATAAAAAAATAAAAACACCATCTGAATAAAAATATTGATTAAAATATGAGAAAAGAAAAAAACTGACTAAGAAAAGCAATATACTGATTATAAGATGCTCATTTGTTTGTATGATTCTAAATATGAACAGTTCTGAGACATTTTGGTTTTGTGGAACAATCCTGGAGCCTTCAGAACTGATGAATATTCATTTATATTTCATATTAATATTCTATTATTTGCCTTTATGATGTTAACTTTAAGCCTGATCTGGTAAATAGTTTATTAATGTTTCTTTTAACCAATATATTAATGCATGGTCTTACAGATATACTATACTGCACTAGAGACATATGAAATGCTTACCAAACTGACAATGAATTAATTTAAATATAATCAGTACATCAACCCTTAAATAATACTGAAATGAGTTATTATTTTTGTTAAATATATCTCATATAAGTGATGCCATTGGTCAAATTTTATAGAATCAAAAATTTTATAGAATATGGAATAGTAGTAATAAATTTATATTTTACTTCCTTTTATAGTAGTTATATAAATATAAATATTCATTACATTAAATTATAATTAAGCATAATCAAATTTTATAGTATATAAAAAATATATTGATTATGCTTTAATCATAATGAAAACATAAATTATTTGTTACATGATCAATAAATATTTATATTAAAAAATACCAGATTTTCAAACCAAAGCATATTATTGAATTTTAAATTTTAAACAACAGTTCTTAGTGTATGTATGCTCAACTTATATATTAAAAGATTATATCCTAGGAAATGAAAATTTAAAATTAGTAGTAAAATTATTAACATAGTCATAATTTCTATTCAATTCTTACCCAAGTCTATGTCCTCCAGGAAAATCAGCTTGAACTCTTGCTCCTAAAGGTATGATTCTAATTTCATGAATATAAACAGGACGAGGAAACTGAACAAGATCCAAATTTAACTCCTAAATATTTAAAATTGTAAAAAAAGTTTATAAATTACTTGTTCTTCACTTTAATTCTAATACATAATTTATAAATATTTAAATCACCAAAATCATTTTCATTAATATATTACTTTAATACATTACCAAATACCAGAGATAAAAAAGCAAATTTCAATTTTTCAGATGCATCTTAATTTTAGTAAGATCAATTTTTTAAATTAAATAAAGACACAAGGCTGGAATATCAAAATATTCAATAAAAATTAGAACAGTCTAATAAAAATAAGATGCATGCAAAATTATCAACAAAGATATAAGTCCCCAAATACAAAGTATTTTTATTAGACTGTTCTAATTTTTATTGAATATTTGATATTCCAACCTTGTGCCTTTATTTAATTTAAAAAAGAAATATTGCATTTATGTTCTATTCTTAGATTTAAAATTTGTGCTCAATTTTTGCCTGATGATGAAGGCTGTATGTCTTGGAAAGTACTGACAATTTTTTAATACATACATGTTTTTAATGTCAGTTAGGTGTGATTTCTCTCCCATATAACAATCCAGTGTGAAGTAAAAATTGTTTTTGCCACAATAAGTAATTGCACATATTATAACATAAAATTTTAATAATAAAAGCCTAAAAGAAGTAAGTTCTGAAAAAATTGAATAAATTATTTTATATATATTTTATATTATTTTTAATTTAATTTTTTTCAGAATTTTAACTGCCAGGAAATGTGGATATAGTATATTAGTAAAAGTAATTTCATTGAATTATTAGAAATTACTTTATTTTTCAAAAAGAATATTTAAGTTTAAAAAGTTGAATATTCTTTTAAGTTTTTAAACGTGGTACCATCTATTAAGATTTTATTTAAAAATAATTTGCATAATATTAATTATTATAATAAGGCTAAAGCTCATATCTATAAGCCTTTTACCGGTGTGCATTTCATCACACTATACAATAAAGTTACAAACATTTTCGAACCGTTACAGTTCTTCTTCAGGTAACGATCCCCTAATGGAATGCGCTTTGATTCAAAGTTGTTAAGAAATACACTTTGAATTGTTTGTAACTTTATTGTATAGTGCGATAAAATGCACACTGGTAAAAGGCTTATAGATATGTGCATTTGTTACAGTACTCCAGTATAGATATTCTACCATTTTCAAGGCTAAAGCCTTACTTCTAGGGGAGGGTGTTTTTTTTTTTTAAATTATAAATGCCAATAACAAGTATAATTTCCAATTGTAGAATTCTGTCAGATGGGAATTATGTTTAAAAATAAAATTAAAGATAACATCTATTTAAGAAGAAACCACCATTTATTCACTTTCAATGTTCCTTTCAATGTTGTTAAAAGTTTGTATTCTAGAAGTGAATAAATGGTGGTTCCTTCTTAAAAAGACTATCTTCAATTTTATTTTGAACTAAAATTTTCATTAAGTTTGACCCCACTCAAGTTATGATGCATTAACCCTTCCATCTCTCCCTTGACTTATAATCTCTAAAATGTAATAGTAGCAATGTCCCAAACACAAAAAATACTCCTGCCAAATTTCACAATTTTTTATCAGTGAGGTTCCAAGATATAATGCAAAATAGATGCAAGAACAACATTTATTATACAGCTAATACATATAACAGTTTTAAGCATTAAATTGTGTATTATTGTAGTTATATTTTAATATGTATAATTTGTCTCATGTTAAAGTTAATATATGTTATCATTTTAAACTTCCTTTTACAATATTACATATTCCTATTACAATATATATAATGTATTCACTGCAAGTTTGCCTTGGATAGTGCAGAACCTCTGTTAATCAGGACTCATGTTCTACTATAATAAATTACTTATAATTTAAATAAACTCAATTAATGCAAAAAATATTAAAAATAAATCATCCCAAAGCAAGAATGTACAGTGCAATCTTAAGTATTGCATCAAGTCACATTATATTAAATATATTAAACCACTTTTAAACAGCCACAGTATTATAACTAAAATATACTCATACAGACATTAAACAAACATATTTGCCAATAGTTCAAAAACTATTTTAAACACAAAAACATTATATGGTTTTAGATTAAAATAATACTAATGTATTTATGAATATTTAAATAAGTCAATTGCAACAAAAGTATTTTTTTTTAGGTTTTTTTAAAAAAAAACTTACGTGGCAGATCACATGCAGCCTGTATGTTCTGTTTATGCATCCAACTTATGATATATTATTTTTTTGCAAAAAAATCATAATAATAATAATAATAATAATAATAAAGCAAAATGTTACAAAACTGACATTCACTCTGATAAAATGATTTTATTTTATTTTGAAGATTTCAAGTTATGAAATCTTCAAAAAAAATTAAAAAACTTAAGCCACAGTGATATTTGTTCTCAATTAATTTTTGGACTTGAGGTAGAATGTAATTTTCTTTCTCAGCTCGTGCCTTTTTTTTTTGTTGGTTTTATTGATTTTTGCTTTAAGATGCTTGTAAAAGGCCAACCTGGCCACAGTGTCTTTTTGAGTAATAAAATAAAAAAATAAAAAATATTTTGAAAATGCTCTTCACTTGAATCTTTGGTTGAATGTATAAAGATAATATATATGGTTGGAATATCAAATAAACATAATTAACAAAATATTGTCATATAACCCTTAATAATGATACAGTATATAGAAATAAAAATTTAAAGTAGCAAATGTAATCTACTATACTTAAAATGTCACCTAGATACTTGATTTAGATACTACACTGCCTATTAAGTGACAACTCATTTTATTTATTAATAATTTATTATAAACATAATGAGTTGTCAACTACAGGTAGTTGTTTCTGTATGTTGAAAAGATTTAAAAATCATGATAAACTATTATTCAAAAAGATTTTGCATTTATGATAATTATTCAATAAATTTCTTTTATATAAATGCAGGATGTCTAGTAAGTCTGAACCCATCCAAGAAAAAACATATGGTTACAGAATCAGCTCAAAGTGTCCTCCACTGTGTAAAACACTGGTAAAGACAAAATTTCCATTTCTCCGGCGCACGATGGATCATATACAATGAAATTTGCTGAGACACTCTTGTACAATATATTCTTTAAGATGTTGAATGCTATGAATTTTCAATGCATACACTTACATATCCAAACTTACAGGACACCACGTGTATTGATATTTGATCAATGTAAAGTGTATAACATAATTTAGAGATATAGTTTTTATTTTGTAAATAACAACTAGGGTTCTCAGATACAAGAAACAAGAACATAAAGCCAACATTAAGAATAAAAAAGCAATGAAGTAAGCTGACCTAGCAAAAACAGTTCCAATCTGACAGGTCTAGTGAAATATGTTTTAATATAAGGGCCACATCCCAATAGGAAAGTTGCCTAAGAAACTGATATGTATCAAAATTTACTCAAATATGTATTAAATGAATAAAAAATTTTAGTAAAGTTTTAGATAGATATGAGGGTAATTTTTTTAAATTTTTTTAAAAATTAAAACTTGTTTTCACATTTTACTTTATATCTCTAGAACAACATTGCCAAATTGAACAATTGACCATTCAAAATACTCATACTCACTTAGAAAGCCTGTTTGAATTTTTTCAGATTTTTTCAATGTTTTCAATGGAAAAATTTTGAATGATTTTAAAAATTGAAATTATGCTATACAGTGGTTTGAGATCCCAAGTGTGAGAGCAAAATTCAAAATTCTCATGGTTAATTTAGTCCAAAAACACTATAATTGAAAATTTATAGATGTTTCCAAATACCAAAAAAATAATTTTTTTTATTCAATGCTAAAAAAGACAACAACATAAACTACTATATATTTTTTTATATGCAAATAAAGTATTAAATTTTGACTAAAAAATTTATTCAAATGGGTATTATAATGATCAACCATAAAAATTCTGTATTTCATTATCTCATTTAAAATGTTCAATATTTTAAATCATTCAATTTTTCTATCAAAAACACTAAAAAATATGGAAAAAATTCAAACAGATTTCCTATTTGAGTTTAAGTACAGTAATACCTTGACTTACGTGATTTTCAAATCTCGTCGATTCATCTTTTGTTTCAGCGCCATGCAACTCTTGATTACTCACTCCCCCCCACACTATTGTTCAGCTTACATGTTCGGATGTGTTGCGCGGAATCGACACAGCTACAATTTATTTTGTGTTATTTATTTCTGTGTTTGTTATATCTATGGAGACTTGAGAGACTCTATATGGTGATTTCTTGTAACCGTGAACGAATCAAAAGACGAGATAAGATTAAATGAGAACATTTATTGGCTTACATACATCCTGCTTGGATTTTACACAAATTGCAAAATTATACCCCGACTTGCGCGGTTATCACTCGGTCCCACCTACCGCATAAGTTTGGGGTATTACTGTATTTTGAATGGTCAATTGTTCAATTTGGCAATATAGCAAATACCATGAATCATATTACTGTAGTCAGAAGTTACTAAAGACAATACATTGCTGTATACTGCACTGCCATGAAATTTTTTAAGCTCATTTTCTGTAATAGTAAATTCAGCAGTATAACCTTCTAAATCAATAAAACTTTGTACAGAATTGATTAGAATAAATCAGTGTAATATATATCCACCTTATCATTTTCAATGTAATCAGAGAAAATATTCCCATCAGATTTTTGTAAACTGAAACGCCCTTTGATCTTTCCCTATTAGTCTGACTTAAAAAACATTTACTGTATAAAAAAATGAAAAAACAGGTTTTTAATGTTTTAAAAAAAATTACATATCAATCTGAAACTTTACCAGAATTTTTTATTCATCATAATATACATTTGAGTAAATTTTAATGCAAATCAGTTTCTTAGGTAGATTCCCAATTCAAAATATATATTGTTCCCTATCTATCATTATGTTTACTCATGAAACTTTTGTAATAAAGATGGCCAAATCTATCATATCAACATCAGAAAAATCTCTAATGTATTAATAT